TATCTATATGGTATCATTTTTGGATAATTATAAAATAATACTATACTTAAATTAATATTCGTATTTTAAATTCTATTCCATACAGATATCTATATGGTATCATTTTTTGAATAATTATAAAATAATACTATACTTAAATTAATATTCGTATTTTAAATTCTGCGTTAAAACTTTTCCTCCTTTTTTCTTTCTTTCTTAGTAGTACGTTTACCGTTTAAAGCTTGGTAGTATTAAATTAAATTCCAGACAATTTAAGTTGCGTAATTCGAAATTATAGTTTGTACAATTCATATCAAATGGGAAAAAAATAATTTGCAAAAAATTTTGGTGGAATGTTAAGTACTTTTAATTAAAGTTTTAATTGATTTAATTAATTAATGCTGGTAAAAAAGAACTACAAACATATAAGGCTTTTAATAATATTATGTGAATTGCACGGATACTATCCGTGTAACATTCATTTTATGATAATGACCGGAATAGGAATGATTGTAAAATCGGAAATGCAGAAAACGAACTGTGGGATAAGTAAACCGGAAATACCCAAATGATATGGCTAGCATGACATGAAGGAAAAACAGTGAGGATAATAATTTGACAAAGGCAAATCGATAATGACACAAATGATAGGAGTGGTGTTCAATGGAATTGAACATAGGTGATGGAAGGAGAAGAAGGAAGAGGAAGAAGAGGAGGAAGAGGAGGAGGAGGAAGAGGAGGAGGAAGAGGAGGAGGAGGAGGAAGAAGAGGAAGAGGAGGACGAAGAGGAGGAGGAAGATGAGAAGAAGAAGAGGGATGAGCAAAAATGAGCATTGGAACTTGTTCAATATATAAATAGATGAAACATAAAAGAGGGAGAGGGAAAGAAAGAAAGAGGGAGAGAGAGAGAAGAAAGGGAGGAAAGAGAAGAAATGACAAAAATAGAATTTGAAAATTTAAAAAGAAAGAAAATGAATTTAAAAAAGGGTTTATTATATAGAAAAAAGAAGTATTTAAATTAAAAAATTCGATTTATAAATGAAAAAAAAGGTATTATGAAATAAAATATTGATTATATACAGTAAACTTTTAATAGTATTGATTGAAATATTGATTCATTCCTCATTAATGTAATTAAAATGAAATAATTCACTTCACTAATTAAAAACGATTATAAAATATAAGTAATTCAATTAATTAAACGAAATATAATGATATTGGTGATAATAATACGAATGATAAAAGTAGTAGTTGTTGGCAGTAACTAAAATAGTAGATATTAAATATTCGTAATTATTCTTGCATTATTATATTCCATAATTAGTCAATTCCATAATTAATCAATCAGTCAATTTAATTTGAAAAATTTAAAATGTAACGTTTCAAATTTGATTTCATTTTATAGTAGAAGAAATAGGAATTAAATGGAAATTAAAATATCATGAAAGTATAACAAGAGAAAGAAAAAAAAATGGTGAAAATAAGAAGGAGAAAGAAAAACGAACCATTGTTATTTTTTCTTTTAATATATATTTTGTGACAGCGACAATTTAATGTCAAAGAGACCAGATGGATATGAACAAGAGAGAAAAGAAACGAAATGTTCACATTTGAAGAATTTAACAAAAAATCTTTTGTTTAAACTTCACATAAATGTGTAATATTTTTTAATTAAATTTAACTTCTGATGTATTGAAAATTTTGAATTGATAATATAAAATTAGATAAAATTAACCTAAAATATCGCATTAATAAATTCACTTTTAAAAAAAAAAAGCAATAATAAAATAAAATAAATGGAATTTTTCAAAATAAATAAAAAAAATAAAAAATGAAAATTTCATTTTAAAATGAAATAAAAATAAACAAAAAATAAAAAGAAGATAAAAATTAAATTTTTAACAAAAATTAAAAATATCAAATATTCCAATGTAAAATTATGATTAATATAGGATAAAAAAAAGCAATGAAATTTTAGTTTGAATTGTTCGAATAATTATTGATATTATTAAACTATAATAAATTCAATAAATAATATTTTAACAAAATATTCGTCTATATGTATCATACGGTATATACCATCATCCGTACCATATATGCCATACATCTGTACCATATATATATATGGTATGTACCATACATCTGTACCACATATATATATGGTATATACCATCTATATACCATCATCATCTGGTATATATATATATATATATGGTATGTATATATATATATATATATGGTAAAAGAATACATCTGTACCATATATATATATGGTATATACCATATATACCATCTATATACCATCATCATCTGGTATATCATCTGATATCAGGACATATCGGATGATTATTATTCGGTTTATTAAATGAATTAAAATTTAACTGATGAAGGAAAGATTTGCATATGATTAGATGTTAATAGCAGTATAATTTTCTAAATGTTTCCTATACTTATCATTTAAAACAAATGACATTAGAAAGGTTAAAAAAAAAAAGAATGACAATGAATAAGCGATTAGTGAATAAAATAATTG